TCTAGGTTTACAGAGCTATACACTAAGCATGTATTTAATCCACACTAAACTGCCTACTAAATAATGTGCGATTAAATACATAAGATAAAGCCGATAACTCGGTATGAGATCCTTGTTCAAATCCTTGTTCATAGAAGTGCCATATCTTCTAATTATGTCAAATAATCGTAAATTAAATTACAGTAGAACCCCTCCTTTGACAACCCATATTCTACGGCCAACCCCTATTAGGGGACGGGGACACTTTTTGAGTGTGCAAAATGGTCAAATCAATACAATGTTACCACTATTTGATACAAACCCTTTTTTGTATCAAAACAACTACAGTAGTAACAAAATAAGAAAAAAAAATCATTCAAATTTATATTTTGACACCTTTTGAGCAATAAACTTAACAACAAACAAAATTTGTTCCATCCATAGAATGGGGCATTGGATGCCTAGTGCATGTTTTACTTCGTATAAATAAAATCTTGTCAATTTTGACCATTAACCATGGAGATTTCTTCTTTTTTTTTTTGGTATTTTTTGATATAGGATTCTAATTTATCCGGACAGCTTGCACCCATGAATTTTAAGTTTATTAATAGTATTCTATCTTGTGCATCCAATAGAAAGCTTAATATTTAAAAAAAAAAGAATATTTGGTCATTAACATTGCACTCAATTATAGAAACAATATCGGGAACATAGACAAATTTTGTAGTTTAAATTACATATTTGTTAATTTCATATCTTAAATGAATTATTTTTTTCATTGCAAATTATTGTTATAAATTAATTATAATTAAACTGTAACTCATTCTTAGGTCAATTAAAATAAAATTATAAAGGATCTATGTCATCATATACATAATACAAAAAAAAAAATCCCCAAAACTCCTATTAAGGGGACAATTTCGCGTCTTTGGTTAGTGTCTCCTGAATAGGGGTCCCTATTCAGGGGACACCCCTATTAAGGGGACATTTTTTTTTGGTCCTGAAGGTGTCCCCTTAATAGGGGTTCTACTGTAAAATGAATGTGCAAGTATCACAATAAATTATAGCTAGCGGGGACCATGTATAGCTATGGCACGCCACTGGGGCATAACTATGTCGCCTCATATAGACAGGTAGCGTGTGTAAACTAGACAAGTAGCGAAGAGTGTACGCGACAACTCGACAAGTAGCGAAGAACTCAACAGGAGTAGTGATGTGTGTAAACTCGATCAGTAGGGATGTGTGTAAACTCGACTGGTAGCGATGTGTGTAAATAAACTCGATTGGTAGGGATGTGTAAACTCGATAGGTAGGGATATGAGTTATGTCCGTCCTGACGTACCATATTTAGCATTGTAGGACATCCATGGTAGAAATAACTGTACTCCATAAAAATCTACTAGGCCTATCTGCCTACACCTTTGTTGTGTTCAAGTTCAGCTGACCAATAAGAATATGGTACTATAATTTTCCACGTATACTGTTGTAAATACAGTAAGCTATTGCCATGTTAAAATATATATTAGTATAATACAGAGAAAATTAAAAGGCAGCACTCTGAGACTAACTTAGATGTTATTTATTCAACACAAGCTTTCGCTGGCAGTCAATGCCAGCTTCATCAGGTGTGTGAAGTAAAAAATTAAAAACAAAATAAAAAAGAGCTTATGCATACATAATTAGCAATAGTCTCACAATTAACCAATTGCAGTCGGATACAATGTAGTATGCAATGATCAGAGATAACAAGTGTAATCAATCAAGCAACTAACTATTCTACTAATAAATAGAGCTAGGCAGATAAACTATCTGTGCAGTCATTTAGCTAATTATATACACATCCCTAACAATCGAGTATAAAACATTAAATAGATACAAGGAATTAAACAATTTCAAGACAATCTGATCTGACTCAGTTTTATTGTTAGGGGAATACTATATCGTTAATACATTAAGTTAATTTGCAGGTAGGTCTATAGTGCCCTTTTATTCAAAGTTACCGTACCATTTTATACAAGCTTCATTTACGTTTCAGGAAATCATGCAAACAATAATTACCGTATTAAAGTTATTTCGTTTTAAAATAAAAATGTTTTCAGTGTAAATTCCTGTTCCCATTTGTGTGTTGTAATCCTACAGTGTATAAGGTCGTGGCTAGCTGGCTGGAGGTTCGTGTGAGGTATTTCGGCGAATCAGTGGGATATTTCACAATAGGTCTATATGTTTACAGAACAATACACTATAAGCATTATTTAATTCATTAACCACCGCACTAAACGGGTCTACCAACTAATGTGCGATCCAATACATAAGACAATAACTTTTATGAGATCCTTGTTCAGATCCTTGTTAAATTGACGTGCCATATCTTCTAATTAGGTCAGATAATCGTAAAATAAATAAATCAATCAATCAATCAATATAAATTTGTAAAGCGTCAATACCTGCGGCAGATGCAATGTTCAGTGGCGCTAATGACGTTGGCATTACTCAAAGTGCACATAAATTTAACTTATGAAATTGTAAAAAGAAAAAAAACTATTTACACTACATTTCTGTGTCACTCACTTAGTAGGAGATGTAGAAAAGATAAGATTTAACCTTTTCTTAAAAAGAAAAACACTTGAGGATAAACGGATGTCAGAGGGTAAGGCATTCCATAAAATTAAAATGGATGTGTAAATGTTTGAAATTCCTCGAAATTTGTAGACATGAAGTTGTGAAATCAAAAGCTAAGTACTGATTCTAACTTACCATATAACGCAGTGGCCTGGTCGAATCCCGGTCGTGGTAATTTCTAACCTTTTAAATAAGAATTCTTGGCAATCTTTTGCATGCAGTATGAACATTTTGGATTCTCCATTCTATTGGCGCTGCAGCGTTTTCAAGCCCCCGCTAAGATTTATTATCATGTTTTAGTGTTTTTAATGTTATTTTCAGTGAACCATCACACTTGAAGTCTATGACATAGGCCTATACAGTACCGATCCGCGAATGCCTACTGTACTTTCTTTTGCCAGTTGCCTGTTGACAGATCGTTACACATCCACTAATGGCATTGTTCGACATCCACCATCATTATCATTATCATCATTATAATTATTTAACATCCTGGATAGATAAATCTTCACCAAGCTATCATCATTATCATCATCATTATTATTATTATTAGGCCTATAATAATAATAATTAATATTACTGTATTTTATTGCCGGTAAAATAATAATTAGCCTATTACTTGGCCGATTTTATTCATATTTACTTAATCGCAGAGCGAATCTGAGAAAAACTAAAGAGGATGAGAAATAAATACCAAATAGCAAATCGTTTATGAACCCGGAGGTTGAAAATGTTTCAATTAATACTTGTGAGCCTGTAAGTTATTTGTGATTATCAATGATCCCGGAACCATAAGTATCGCAACAGTTGACCTACAGTAACATTTTCCTGTTAGGTCCGAATTACTTCCTTTTAATTCCTTAAAGTCACCAACGTTTGCGATAATTAGACCTATGGCTATAATGGATATCATATCCTACCCTTATCTATCTTATTTTATCATCATTAAAATTGAATGTGTAGACGTCGGGAATTCCCCCAGTCTTAGGCATTTGTAAATAGCCGAGTAAAGGAAAATAAAAACTAAAACGGTATTTGTATTTTTCATTCATGCGAAGGACGGGTTATCAGAGGGGCTTTGCTCAATGGAGAAGTTGGGAAGGGGGCTTCTGTAAGATTATAGAATCCCCATGGTAACGGACCTGACCACATAGCCAGAAGATGATTTCGTAGTCAGTGTTAGTTTGTAAAAGCCGAAAACCCATTTTAAAAGAGCGTTAATAGAGGCTTTGTCAATTTCCGATATGGTGACCACGTTTGCCATATATCCTTGGTGATCAATTCAAATGGCTGAATCACGCAATATGATGAATAAAGTATAATTTTTTAAACCATTTTTTTTTAGTTTGCTGCTTGTTTGTGCCACCGTATTATGTTTCCTTAAATTCTATTGACCTGTATTTCATTCAACTATAATATTTTAAATAAGAATTTCCTAAGCAATACTGAAATCAGCACAAAAGTGTTTATTTGAAACTTTTTACAACTGTTTTTATGTTATTGTTACACTAGACCCATAAGAATAGAAATAATCAAACAATGAGTTATTCAAGAGTTCTCAAAACGTTTAATAACATGTTAAATATTTATAAAATTATTTTACAAGTAAAGTAGCATTGTTGATATAGAACATATACTCAAAGTAATAATATAAAACCGAAAGTTCCACTGATTAATCTCAGATAATATAGTATAATACATACTTCAAGTACTTCGAAATGCACACCATCGTGTGGGATTCAATATTTCGACATTAATTATTATTCCTGATGATGACGTAATTAATGTCGAAATATTGAATCCGACACGATGGCGTGCATTTCGATACTTGCAGTATGTAGGCCTATTATACTATCTTAAATAATAATATTGTATTTAAAAATGGAATATAAATATATAAATATAAAAATCAACATATTTTAACTTCAATATACAGTAAAGGTATTCGGATAATGATAAAAGTAATGCAGTATAACAAATACAAAACTGACCCTTGACAAAAACATAAGTAGAAAATAATATTAATAAATAAAAGCACATTGCGTGAGAATCGTTTAAACGAAAGTATAATTTTTAGATCCGAAACCATTAAATGTAAAATAGTAAATTAGTGGTTTGTTACCGGTAGGCCTACTTGTTATTATATAACTTTATTTTCTTAGTGTAGCTCCTTTATGGTACCTTGTATGAGATAACCACGTGTTTGAAAATTATTTTTTTAGAGAGGTCTAAAATTATAATAATAATAATAATAATAATAATAATAATAATTATTATTATTATTATTATTATTATTAATACTATTATTATTAATATTAATATTATTATTATAATTATTATTATTATTGTTATTATTATTATTATTCAATTCAATTCAATTCAACTCAAATTGTATTTCGGAATTACATATTCATAGCATGAAACAAAATAAAGAAAAAATTAAATTAAAAGAAATAGATTAGAGTATTATTATTACTATTATTATTATCATTATTATTATTATATTATTATTATTATCATTATTATTATTATTATATTATTATTATTATCATTACATTTATTATTATTTTTTATTATCATTATTACTATCAATATTATAATACTATTGTTATTATTGTATACATTATCACGTGATAATGTGCTTCGGCTGTTAGCAGGCAGGTATCGTTGGTATGTCAATAGTATTGATAAACAAACAAATCATCTTGGAAAGGTCAAGTAGAAACACAGTTTAAAATTAATGACGACGAATTGTAGTAATGAAATTATATTACATGCAACATCACACAGTTATCTTATAGTAAAATTCTTACACACTTATTATTATTACCTTGATTTACGACAGTCTTTCAATTGCAATTGAGAATACACAGAATTGATTTGAATTGAATTGAATAGGATGCTGTTAATAAATTAACTTAATTGAGCGTTTGAGCAATAAACTAGGCCTCTAACAATACATTAAAGTACTAGTATTAGGCTATAAAAACAGAACGTTTAAGATACAAAATACTTTACTGGTCTTTATATAAAAAAGTGTCAATGTAGAAAACGTCAACCCTAATTGAATTTTTATTACAATTATTAAAGCTACAAGTTAATAAGACGTAAAATAATCAATAGGGTGATAGGCCTACTCTATGCTGACGTCATAGTCATGCACTGTATAATCTTTAATTGACAAACAAGATCTGTAGACCTAAAGTAAATACTTTTACTAAAACAATATTGAAAAATCTGTCTGCCAGTGGCGCCGCAAGTGAGAGGGTAACAGAGGCAGTCCCTTCCCCCATTGCACTCCTTCACCGATGTGAGAATTTTGTTCTAAAGATAATCTTTATAATATGGAATGGTGGTAAACAAGGCCGTGGATAAAAAGAATAAACAAGTACTTTATTACAAACTGTAACTAGAGTATATCCACTCATAAGTCGAATCTATTTCAGCCGTTTAAATAGTTGAGCTCATGGGCGTTGGAGTCATTTCTTCGTCGGCGCTATGTCCCATTTTATTCATAATGTCTAGCTTAAGTTTTTTCATCCCGCGTTTAAAATCGTAGAACGTAAACGTGTATATGATTGGATTTATAGATAAATTCATCGTATTCAAAATAATTGATAATTCGTAGATTATGATTATATCACTGAACTCGAAGCAACCACAAGCCGTATAAAGAAAAAAGATGATTTTGTTGGGAGAAACAGTGATAAAAAATGCTATACCGACAAAACAAATTGTATAGATGAGACTTCGTTGGGCTTTGCGTAGCCAAGTCCGTGTGTTGTCCGTATTTGACCTGCTTATGGTCTTAGCTTGCGGAACTGCGCGTTCGCGTAGATTTATAAGGATTCTGGCGTAACAGAATGCCATAGCAATTACAGGCACAATGTACTGGGTAGTAAAGAAGACAGCACCCCAGAAAACACGTGCACTATAGTAGTATGTACAATGTCCAGTTACTTCGTCATACCCCGCATAAACAAATAGTTCTATCCCAGTTAGCATGCCGATGATGTAGGGAAGTATCAAAACTAATCTGCCTTTTTTATCCCTGAAGTGCCGTCTAAAAAACTTAGGATGCAAAACAGCTATGTATCGCTCTATCGTTATTATTACTAAATTATATGTTGAGGCGTAAGTTGCGCACCAAAATATGTTCAAAATCTTACAGAAAAATACTGCTCCGCCGTCTGACGGAGCTGATGGTGTGAAGAAGGCCAACATCATAATACAAGCCACCATATCTATAGCAGATTGCTGGAAAATCAGTAAATGCGTCAGAGATTTCTTGTAAATTTTGTTGTATAGCAAAACTAATATGACGAATGCATTTGTTATTATCCCAATTCCACTGATGATAAAACGAGTGGCGATTAGCCCGTCTGGATCCATGAATTTCTCTTCCGGCCTATCACCGTCCGAAACAGTTTGATTTTCCATTTCCATTGATCTGTATTGCAAGAAAAAATGCGGAAAAAAACAATTAACAAGTTGTAGTTTGTTTGATTAAAAACGCGGAACGACTCTATATTAGACAGCAAACGATGTTGTCTATACCATAGGAAAGTAAAAACTTATGCGCAGGCCCACTTACTGTTTAATATATCCTGTATTCTATCCTACTATACCTTGACATTCATGGTTGTATGAATGCATTTATCAGTTGTTGCTTGACAGAGTGACAGGCAATTAACTATTGTAGTAGAATGAAGAGAAACTGAGTTTGACATTCTCAATTCTACTGTAATGAATTGTATTCTTATATTTTTAATAGAAGTTAATACACCTTTGATTAAAGCATCAAATGTTTTTCTTCGCAGTATGTAATTTATGTCAAATAATACCTCGTTGACCATTAAAATAAATGTATTATTTTTAGAAATAATTCACTACTAGGCTCTCGATTCGTTTGTATCACTATGTTATGATCTGGCAGTTAAAAAAAATTGTAAATCCGGTGGAGGTGCTGCATGATGCCGGGGTCGTGTGTCATCTTAAGTACCTTATTACTTTACAAAATGATACAAATGTCATAAGAAAATACAACACCAGATAATTATTTCCTGAAAACCGAATTCCATGTGGATACTTTAAGGCAGTATAGGGCATAGACACACGCTCCCACTGGGAGCCTATTTTTGCATACCCCTATCTATGCTGTTGCATTTATGTCAAACGCCTGAGGTTTTTATTTAAAAACAACAACAGTCTTCTACAAACACCTTCAGCGAGTCATTGTGACCATGGCTACAACAACATGGCGTGGAAATTAGAGTTTTGAAGAGCTTATTTTAAGTTGGATTAGGTCAAGAAGGTAACACCATGGTAACGCTATCGTCGTGTCAGCTGGTACGGGCTGCCAGGGAGGGTTTTACTGAGTTCTCTCAGATGACAAGGCAATAAAAGTCTACTATACGGGTCTAACTAGCCTACGGTTTATATAAACATAAAATATACAATGGTTACTTACAGCATTATTTGAGATCAAGGTAGCAATAGACTATTAATTAATTTGAATGTCAACAACCGGTTATAATCCGTCCAACACGACTAGATCAAATGATTCACAAACGATCGCTCCTACGTGTTTAATAGAATATCATCCAGGAAACTTCCCGGAAAGAGGTACACCTACGGTACTTACAGCACGTGAAGGAATGGATTTAGGTAAAGGGATATACTTGACAGGAAAGATGAATTATTGGGTCATATGTGTTTGTTGGTCATGAAAGGGGACTGTGAGTACAGTGATAACAGTTTCACGAGAAGGGGGTGGGGTGGGGGCGATGGGGAAAACTAGAACGAAAGTGGGCGTGATTGGGCCTCGCTTATACTATTTCGTTGGTCTGAAGACCGATGCCACCCCTGTGACACAATTTTGTAAAGTAAAATACACTATTCAGCACATCAGGTGCATGGATACAGTTTAATTTTTTTTTTTATTCCGTGTTTATTATCTCAATTATTATTTTTCCTTCTCAAAACGGCAACTTAGCCCAGAGGCACGTTTGTCCGTGACCGATTAAAATATTGGTCAGCGTACTCCACGACCTAAGGTTAATTAGGCCTATTTGTTTAGGTTAGACTACGGACGAACCGTTAAGTTATTTATTTGTTTTATGGTTATTATTATTACTTGATTGTTTATTTTATATACAGCAATTAAGATTTCATTGTGAATGTAGCTGTGTACAGATCCGTTTTCACACTCATAGGCCTACACATACTTAACACGACCGACCGAACAAAAAGACCAAACGACAAAATCAATGATTTAATAAATCAATTTAGGCCCAATCGATCGATATCAATACATAAATTAATAGCCTTGAGCTTTGGTTTTGCCGAGAGGGGGCTGTTGTGTCTTACAGCAAACCGTGCTTACACTACAGTACTATGAAACCAGTTTCAAGACTAAAGTTGGGAATTCGAGACTTGAATGCGGATATAAACGCACAGCTCATCAAATGACCATTTTACAGAAGTGGCAGGCTAATGGTCATGATTGTCGTCTGTCTCATTGGCGTATCCAGGATTTAAGGAAGGGGGTGCTGATGACTGTGAGACTCCACACCACGTCAGCGCCACCGTTGGCGGTAGTAACGCGCGAACATTTTCAGTATTTTGTACATCTGATGGATGCACAGAAATTGAACTTAAACTTAAAATTGTTAATTCTTTTCATTTTTGACAAATTGAGTAAAAAAAGAGGGAAAAAAACCAATTAATTAATTAAATATGTGCCCGAAAATGGCACTTGAATATTACAATTAAAAACTCTACCATATCCACCTGAACCCCACCATGGTTTTAGGGCGTAGATGAGTACATTTTAAGAATTTGAGACTTTATAGATGCCCGAAAACGGCACCTGGATATAATATTTATTAAAACTACCATCCACTTCAGCCCACCATATGCTTTAGGCTGAAGACAATTACAAAACTCTTCACTGTGACCTAACGCTGGGGCCGAGGGCCCTGTGACTTCCTGACACTGAGGGCCCTGTTGGACATAATTTGCAAGCGTGAGACTTTTGTTCTAAAAACCCAGGTATTTTTTTTCCCTAGATACCCGGAAATGCATTCTTTGCTACTTTAAGGTTGTATTTTTACAATTGGAAATCTGTTAGGAATCCGCATTTTTTCTTGAGAATGCATATGTCTGCCGTCCACGATCCAACCTATCCCACTGAAATTAGACGCCCGAGTGGCGTGTGTTCTTTGATCCTACTGATGCAGCTAGTTTGAGTTGATCGAAAAAAAAAATAGTAAGAGAAATATTTAATTTTTTACCGACTATTATCAGAATTTATCAACTGAAGAATACATGAGATACTATAAGAAAAAATGTAAAAATGTATTCAGACTATTTAATGAATTAACTTCTATAT